AACAGAGGGGAAAAATTCCTTTCGCTTCGCAGAAAGCTCTCTACATCTGTTGTCTTGATACACTGCTGATTGAAGAGTTGTGTAAGACAACTCATTTCAGAAACCTTAGATGCATCATCAACGAGGTTATACCATGAGAGCATCATCATTGGACCCAAACTCACACACAGAGGGCAGCATGCACATTCTGCACACGGATGTTGTAGAGTTTGACTACCAGTATGGTCACTAATCTTCTCACAGGGAATGTAGAGGATTGATCCTGTCCATAACTGATTTACGATCATAACATTCTGAACGTATTGTAAAATGATGCTGTATTTCTGTTTCAGGGTACGCTTTGTATTTTTCTAAAAGATATCACCAGAAGCAAATGATGATTTTAAGGTATATGGAATAGCACTTGTTATTAGATTGTGTATTTTATCAGAAGCCTAAGGAAAGCCTAGACATGCTTCTAAATAAGTTCTTGACGAACAAGACTTTCAGGCCTACTCGAGATACTAGTTGTTTAGGAATTGGTGTCTTTAATGATCACCCTTGCAGTCGGACACACAAATTTGGTATAAAAAAGGAGAGACATTCAATTTTGAAGCCATCTTGGGTTGTATGATCTCCTAAATGATATATTTCTTGGAAACATTCAATCAAGAAATACTCCAAAAGAATTTGCAGTTTCTAACTTTCTACCAAAACGGAGACATTCTATACAGGCACAAAAGGAATTGGGAAATGATACAAAGGGTCTCTACAAATTACGATAACAATGGGTTACACAGAGCATATGAAACATGCCATACTGAACTATACAGACATTTCTTTCCAACTTTTTACAACCGTCATAATTCATCCATCAAACCAGCATTCGGGGCAATGCCATGTGTGTTTTTTGTTTTTGTTTTCATTACTTCGTCTACAAAATCTACTTTCTCTGATTTTTCTTTGGAATTTTAAAATATTTTGACTTCTACACTACAATGAAGCTCATGAAGTGCCAAATATTTCATTTGCACAGGCACATCAGCGTAAAAAGCAAGACAATTTACGTTGATTGGAATATGATTGGATTAGAGTAAGAGGAGATTAGCTATTCTCTTCTAATAAACAGTATTGTGTTCTCAAAGGAAACACAAAAAAACAAAACAAATAAAATAAAATAATAAATAATGATTAAGAAACTTCTTTTTGAGAAAGAATAGATAAAGCTCATAGAGCTCTACATATTTCAAGTAGAATTCAAGTAGAATTGCCCCAAATAGTAAAAATAAAATGGAAAATAAACAGAAAATAATTGAATACGCCTCTTTATTCGGCTATATGGAGAACAAAGATTTTTACAGTGTCAATGTTACATCGTAGACATTGAGTTAATATCAACAAAATTCATTCAAGAAGTTTTCTTTTTCTCAAGTTTAAGAAATTATTCCTCATAGCTCCTCTATACTTCATCATCAAACCTAATAGATTCTACCACTAAAAAGTAATATTCACACAATCTGATTTAAAATCGATTTCAGTTTATCTGCTTTTTTTTCTTCTTTTGATGAATTCTAGCTGAAAAGTCTCACTACAATGAAGCTCTAATCTAGTATATACAATGATCTAATTATGTATTCCTGTTATCGTCTTCTAAACAGACAAGTTTTACGGCTTCAGCCCATGATTCTTTTGCTTTCAATTCCGAAAGATTCGCAGCAGTCTACTCTTTCAAAACTAAATTAACTGGATTGGTCTTAGTGGTCATTCTTTGAAGAAGAAGAAAAAAAGAAGATGTAATTATTGACAATAAAAAGAATATATTGGACCATAAGCTACTATATCTGTTGGTCACTATCACTACACCAAATGAAAAAAACATTAAAAGCCTACAATTCAGAAAAAAGTATTTCCATAGTAGATTTATACCATAAATGAAGAAAAGAATGAAGAGATTTCACAAAATCATGAAACATGAAAGCTGAAGAAATTTTACACTTTGAGAAGTGTTGAAATAACATGTCACTTAAATGGTCAGATGCAAGAAAAAAGTTTTCTTTTCAAGCATAACATTGTTCTGCATGGAATAAAAAGTGATAGATTCACTACTACTAAGAATAAATACTACTTAATATGAACCAAACTTACATAGCTAAACGATCAGGTAGAAATAATAAATATAATCAAATATAAATAATTACAATTACTTACTTGGATTATAAGAAATTTTCATTCATTGTTTTAAAGAATATATGTAAAATATTCTTAACATGTACATACTTAATTTTTAATAAATAATAAATAAATATGTAATAACTCATGAACTACTGTTTAATAAATAACACATAAATAGGTCATAAATAAATAAAAATTATCTAATAAATAATTAATAACTATACTTTATCATGTACAAGTTTAAGGCATAATAATTGAAAAAGAGTGCGATGCATAGATGTTATTTTCTTGGAAGACAATATGCTCATAATATTTGAGGCAAGACTGAGGCTTTCAAGTAAGGGATTGGATAAAAATAGAGTTGCATTATTAAATAAAGATGCAATAAATATTCATATATCTACTTGAAATATCTACATGTTTAAATGGTACTGTTGAATTCAATCAAAATCAAAATGATATAAATGTTTATAATATAAAGCATTCATTGCCTGCATGCTATATCGGTAGGTTGGACAATCGCATTGGGACATGTGACAATATCTACAATGCATAAACTAATATAGATCAAAACCCCAAAAAGCTATCGTGCTTTGACAATATTGTCATACGTGATATATCCTTTCGACTATAGCGTGATATATATATGATTTACAATATCAAGCAACATCGATTGGCAAGGCGTGGCATTCATCAAAATTTGGCAGTGCAGAGATAGCATTATTTCTTTTGTTGAATGTAATACATGTAGGTGAGTGTAGGTGAGTGTAGGTGAGTGTGCGAGGCTGTATTAGGTTTCAGGATATAAAATCTGAGTTGAAAATATATCACAATAGGCCTGTTTTCATCGGCTCGAGTTTGCCAAATAACCTGTTATCATAACTATCCCGATTGCAAATTAAAAATGTTGGGTCTTGTTTCCAAAATATCCCGCTATTTGGGAAATAGCAGGCTAATTTGCGCCCGCCTGAGCTACTTTGTGATGAAGGTATCAGTCTGGTGAAGACGCAATTTCGAGCTTCGGGATAATATCCCGAGTCTGAAAATAGCGGGTTATTTGGCAAACTCAAGCTGATGAAGACAGGCAAGAAGGAGATGAGTGTGTATTGTGCTATTCAAGAGACATATGTGTACATGTACCGGTAATCATGTAGACACAATACAGCCTATGGCTCGTTAGTTCAAGGCAGCACCGTTTAAATGTTCACCCAATAATACAGTACATCATTACCAATGGGTTATAAATTAGATTTAACTTGAATACTATATACAGTCAAACCTGTCTATAGCGACTGCCCAAGGGAAACACAGAAAGTGGTCTTTGTAGACAGGTTCCTTTAGTATAATATTCAATGAGAAACCATTTTCAAGTCAAACAAAAAATGTGGTCTTTGTAGACAGGTGGTCACTAAAGCAGGTCTGACTGTACACATACAGGACAAAAAAGACTGTGTGACAGCCCCCCCCCCTCCCCCCCCCCCCCCCCCTCCACAAAAAAATGATGCCAGATGCTAGAAATTCACTTGAACCAACCTATGGGCAAGCAAAATCATATTGCACAAACCCACTTGGGCAAGTAAAGTTGAAGTCTTTATACCAATGGTATCAAGTCCCACGAGCCCATTTTGGCAACTGCAGAATACTAACGTAGTGGCATATATAGCACAGGCATAATACCATTTCAAATTAAAGCAGTGTAAATATTTTGCTTCTTTTTTTGTCATGAAAAAGAAACAATGTAAACAAACAAGTCCAATATAACTTTGATTCAAAATTCACAATTTGAATACACACATCGTGATCGACAAACACTGTTGATACTAATTTGTAATTAACAGCACTTCATCACTTGAATCATAATAACTTCACAATGGATTTGAAAAAGGAAGCATATGTCTTTCCTAACAAGTTTATCCAAGTTTTTACCAAAATAATATCATACATATTGTCTCCTTTTTATTCTTCTGTACTGCGGTAAAATAATAGGTTGCCTTTATTTCTAAAGGGCACAAACCATTGAAGATATAAGTCTGGGATTCAATGAAAATGATCTGGAAAAAAAAATCTAGAACTTCAAAATGGTGGAGGTCATTCCTCTTGCATAGTTTCAAAAGTAATTTTAGGCAAAAAAAAAATCACCCCAAAATATGAACAACTCTGCCTCATTCTTTCACACATTCATACTCTATCCTTAAGTAGTATATGATGCATAGACCTCTTCAGAACAGAGGATCAACACAAGTGCAACTTCTCTTCAAATTTTTGCCTTCAACACGAAGCACTTCACTTTGTTCATATTCCACCTACTTAGTTTTCCTGCAGCACCAAAAACCTGCGTACACTGACAAGGTTGAACAATCTACTAGCGCCTATGTTGATTAATAAATAATTCATGAACTGTATTAACATACATGTACCACTGGATAAATGTTTCAAACATCGAGCAGCTTTCCCCCTTTAACACAGATACCACAACCGAACCTCTTATGTTTACTTTGCAAATACCGGTATGAAGGCTAAACATCCTAGTTTGGCTGAAGAAGGCAGAAACTAGCTACAATGGCTTAAACATAGGTCCTAGCATGAAAGCACACTGTCTTGCTGCTCTATGGGAGCAAAAAAATGCAAATATTATGTGCACCTGCTTGTAATCTTTGACATCTTAACTTTTTTTGGCAAAAATAGAAATGACCCTGTCCACTTTTACTACATCTCTGATTCAGTGTATTACATCCTGAAATCTGATGTTCTTAAAAAGAAAAGAGTCCTTTGCCACCCCCCCCCCCCCCCTCACCATCTACTACCCCTTTCTCTTACAGATGGATGTTTAGGCTTTGTTCAAGACTTACTGATGCTGGATGCGATTCTTGCAGGCTTCACAGTACAGCAACTCATTGATGACAAAGAATCCTGGGTAAAAAAAAGGAAAGAGAAGAAAATATGGAGAAGTGAGTGCCTTGCTAATAGAATGATAATAGAAAGGATATCGCTGAACTCAGACATTTAGGCCCAAATTTGTTAGTGAATCAATAAATTTTGTTTCCCCTTGCGAAATGAATTCTTTCCATCTTTGTATCATGGAATACACCAGTGATTCATCCAAGAATAATGCCAATGTATGTATCCAGTGTTCAGCTTTATTAGTAGGTTTCAAAACTTGATAAAAATGTCCTTCCCTTGCCCATAAAAATAATATCTATGAGCTGGCTAACTATTCATTTGTATAACATCTAATACCTTGTTTTAATACACTAAATACACAAACAAGTTTTGATACATAATTCATGTATGCTCTGTGTTTACAACAACTTGGATATCTACCCCGGTTCTTTTCTTTTTTTGAAATAAAATATAACATTAAGACATCTCTACATAAATACCAACATTTTTAATTCATTTTATGAAATCATTACAAAATGATGATAAAAGGTGAGTGCACCCAATTTGAAAATAAGAAACAAATAAAAGATATATGATAAAATATGGTTAATGTGATAAGCATTTTTTAAAGTTATAATTAATATATCCATTTTGATAGTGCTTTAATTGATGTGCTATCCCCATGTAAGCTGAAACTTTAAAGTGATGATGGTTGTTATGGCTACCAAGAAAGCTGCATATAACAAGATGGAAAGCAACTTTGACGGATCGATTAATTGATTAAACATCACTATATTTGCTCAGCATTTATATTCATTGACTTCAAAATCAAGAATTGTAATGTATGGAATATCAACATGTATTAAAACTTAAGCAAAAGCCTAGGAATACATCCTTTTGTTTATCACAGGATGAATATATGAGTGAGGAAGCTGAAGGGTGACACAAGGATATAAAGCCTTTCACCATAAAACGTAAAATATCATGGTATATGACATTTTTAAATGAGAGAAAAAGAATTTGTTATTAAATCAAAAGCGAAAGCAATTAATAATGGTTCTGTAATTTCATGATAAATATGTGAGTCTGTAAGCTGAAGCATAATCTGAGGAAATAAACCCTTTCACCATATTAAATAATATTTGATGATGTGTGATAAACATAAATGAATAAGCGGAAGCAATTAAGAGTCAGAAAATATAACCTTGAATTAGAGAAAAAGAATAAATTAGTCATGAAGAGAAAGCAATTAATCCTTAGCTTCCATATATTTCATGATAAATATGTGAGTGTGTGAGCTGCATCATAATCTGAGAATATAAATGCTTTCACCATATTAAATAATATATCATGTATAAAACATAAAAGTATGGCTGAAGCAAAATCCCAAGAATATACCCTTGAATGAGAGAAAAAGAATGGTTAGTCATTAGATTAATAATGCCTCTGTAATACTTTTTAGACGATTGTCTTCATATTACCTTCTTCACCATCATCTGTTGAGTTGGTAACAAAATGGTGAGTAAAAGTTATCTCAAATCTAAATTTTATTACCCTTATTTCTCTTATGTGTAGTATAATTACATAAATATCTATCCTGAATACCAAAACACTAATGATAACTCAGTTTTTAAATCTTTTGAAATCTTATGGTAATATTGAGTTTTCTATAATACGTTTAAAATTTGGAAAGAAATGAAAATATTCTACATCTTGACAAGATATGGATGCTACAAAAAGGATTGTGAATTAAAAGAGATCTGTTTCATTTCAATCACAACACTAAAGAATCGATAGAAATTCTCTTTATGTATGTGTTGCATTAGAAATAAATACAAACCATGTAAACCATTCTCTTTTTAATGTCTTATCAGAACATTTCATTTCTGTTAATCTTCATTAAATTATCAACTGATAGGACATTTTTACAGGATTACAGTCTCTATTTAAATATAAAACCAAGTACAACAATCACTATTCCTCCACATTAAATCTCAATTGCTTTGAGAATAAGTTTGTTGACCCCATCTGACAGTGATGAGGTAATGTTCCTTTGAGTGGTGACCAATTCTCACCTTTATTGCGTAGAGATGAGGCACACGATTCACAGGTGAAGCAGGTATCATGGAGAGGGTTACCACGTACCTTCACAAACGGACCCCTGTACAGGAATAGAAATGAACATGTTTGGTTAATTTTTTTTTTTAAAGAGAGATTTGAGTTGGTCTAGTGTTAATGTCCGTGGTACAGTCAGCTCTCTGTCTTTGCCTACAGATTGAATCTGATCAAACGCAAGTTTAAAGCCTGTCTGCACTACTTGTAGCTACTTGCGCTCTCTTTATAGCAAACAATGCGTAATCGGTACCCGTTGGTCCCCCATGATCCCCTTTTTCTTATGTTAATTGAGAGCTGATTTGATGAGATAACCACCTGTCAGTTACCATGCAGGGAGGTATAATCGCTTCTGGCCAAACTAGTGCAGACAGGCTTTAAAACTGATTCATGTGTTTCTGATGGCAACAGTAAGGTCAGTCCGAGATGTATGTAATAATGTCTGCATGATGCGCATCTGTAAAAACCCATCTCATCGCCTCTGTGATCCGAGGGGTATACCATCTTCTCTCACCTTCAGCGGGGAAAAGATAGTAGCCCTGAGATCGCCTCTGCGATGATAGTTTGACGCATCACAAGGACAGTCAGTAATTATTTGTCGACTACTGTGACAGTGGGGCCTCGTTTGCCATAAATAAATTCAAGCCAAGTTGGTTAAATTTCTTAAAGCTAAAGACCAGTTATGGTCATGCGATTGCATTGTGAAAGAAACGTTGTGAAATCGATCAGAAAAGGTTGATCATCTAGCATAGATGTACTGCAAGGTTCTGGAATCATCAAAATGATAAGAAATTTGGCCAAGTCTTCATGAAGTTAGAAGCACTGTACACAGAAAGATGTATATGGGACTACACACACGTGCGCGAAATGTGCATTTCATATCTCTCAACAGGCGAGAGATACACTAATTTACCAAATATATCAATTAGTAGGTGGTTTCCCGTCAAAATTTTTATCATCATGTAATATTCAAAACATATTCTTTCACATGATTGGTAATAAGAGCTTCCATTTCATTTTTTGAAATTGGGGTGTTTCCAATACAGGTCTTTACCTTTAAGCTTAAGCAAGTTTTTTATTGAGTACAATCCTCACTGTCTTCAGTGGCCAGAATGAGGTACCTCTACTCAAGAGCAAATAGTTCTTGTTGAACCTGTTTAGAGAGGTCACTTGCCTATGGTCACGAGCAGAATAGTTTCCATTATACTGCCTAAAAAGACAGGGGGGGGGGGGTGTTTCACAAAGACTAAGATCGACTTTAAGTTGGACTTAACATTCATGCCACGGTTTTCTCTCACCATTAACTGCCATTGGCCTCTCAATGGACCTACAAATCATGGTCACAAATCTACAGAATTCACAATTTTTTAGATAGTTCATTATTAAAGGAAAAAATATTTTCTAAAGATCATAATGGTGAGAGCATACAGTGGCATGAATGGCCTGCCATAGTTAAGTCCAACTTAAAGTAGATCTTAGTCTTTGTGAAACACTCTCCAGGGACCCGTTTCACAAAGCCACTTTTCAATGACAAATGACAAAAGTCAGTGACAAATCTGCTGATAACCAATCAGAAGCAAGGATTTCAGTCGCTTATAACAAAAACAGTCATTTGTCACTGATGACAATTTTGTGAAACGGCCCCAGGTGATACTATATCCACAAACTCACATGATATTCTGGTTACATTTGTGGCAGACTGGCAAGGCATTCGCTGGTTTTGAGCCCCCAGTGGTTGGCTTGGCAACGGGAGCCCTCACAGAGCGAGTTCCACCTGGTCGGTATCCAGGGGCTGGGGCAGGGGCTTGGGCTGGGGCTGAGGTTTGCTGACCACCATAACCTGATTGAAAGAGATAAATGGGAAGAAGAGAAAGTGAGAGAGGTGTAAAAATAATACTAATAATAATACTAGTACTACTAGTGCTAATGCTAATGATAACAAAAACAACAACATTTTATGGATGCAAAATGTGACAATTTAGAACTTTTGCTTCATCGGTTTGCTTCGCTTCAACTTCTGCTTCACTTCAACTTCTGCTTCACTTCAACTTCTGCTTCACTTCAACTTCTGTCCCACTTCAGTACCGGTAACCTGAAAAATAAAAAATATTACTTACTGCTCATGGTCAGTTACCATGCCGTTGAGTTTTATTAATCCAAATTAATTTCAAACAAATTTCCTTATTTTTGTGATACTCTCTCCCGTTCAATAGCTGACTTGTGTATTGATACATTTTTTTAAAATTTTTTTTTTTTTTTTGGGGGGGGGGGGGGGGGGGGTTGGGGTGACATTTTTTTTTTTAACAACAACCAATGAGGAGAGCCCTTAAACAGAAGTTGATATTTCTTTCAGGCAATCACCAGGCATTGGTTGTTGTTCTTGTTGATGTTGTTAAAAATTGTTATTAGTATCATCATTTTTGTATACTTTCTTCTTCTTCTTCTTCAAGATAATCTGCCTCCTTCAATACTGAAGATTCTTGCAGATGCCGTATATACTCGGCCTGATTGGGGTGTGCAGGTGGACCATTATACCATGGTTTCCCCCTACTCTTATACGAATAGTGCAGTGGGTTCTTAACGTGCAAGGGTGGTGACTCTCCTAGACACATGACCTCCAATTAACATCCTATCCGAGGGACGGAGTGTTTTCCCCTTAACATAGCCTGCATCTATGAAACAAGGGGAGGGGCACGTTAACACACAACGCAGGCTTCAGTCATTCGCCTGGGTTGGATTCAAACCCGAGATCTTTGGTCCGACAGGTAGACGCTTTACCCACTGAGCCAACTCGCCTCCTTCCATTGTCTATGCATGTAGTTAAATGTCATTGTGTTCTTGAAAATGAAAAGATTTGTTTTATTATTTGTAAAAGAGTAACTTATACATACCTCTATCATCTTCTCCAGCTAGTTGTTGAACCTTCTTGAAGCTGGTTGACCTGGGGCCTTGGCTGGACCCTGGAGCATACGCAGAGGGTTTCTGCCAGGCAGCCGGGGCTTGTTGATCGTCATCACTGAAGGTGGGAGAGGAGAGAGAAATGGCTTTTCATTAAAGGTAAAGACAAGTATTGGAAACTCCCCAATTTCAAAAAATGAAATGGAAGCTCTTTATTACCAATCATGTGAAAGAATATGTTTTGACTAATACATGATGATAAAAACTTTGCCGGGAAACTGCCTACTAATTGATATATTTGGTAAATTAGTTTATCTATTGGACTGTGAGAGATAAACGTACGTGTCGCGCACGTGTGCGTAGTCCCATATACATCTTTCTGTGTACAGGTACAGTGCTTGTAACTTTACGAAGACTGCGCCAAATTTCTTATCATTTTGATGATTCAAGAACCTTGGAGTACACACCAATACTTATAATTATGCTAGATGATCAACCTTTTCTGATCGATTCCACAACATTTCTTTCAAAATGCAATCGCATGACCATAACTAGTCTGTATCTTTAAAGTACATTAAAATAGTAATAACAGAAAAGTTCTTACAGAGCACATTATACTTTTGAGATAGGTCTCAACATGCTTAGGAAAAGGTAAGAGAGGAGCAAAACAAAAAAGAAAGATTTTGGAAGAGAATATAAAAATCATTGCCTTAGCAAGGGAAGGCATATGTGCCCTGCAGCAAGTAAACAAAAAAGATGAGAAGAACAGGAAGCTAGGAAAGGAAAGGGAAAAGATAGCAAGTAAAAGAAGAAAAAAAAGGAGAAATGGAGAAAAGAACAAATAAAAAGAGAAAATGGGAAGAGACAGTGAAAGGAAGATGGAAGGACCACCTCCCAAGACCATCTTTCATACCCTGCAGGGCCCTTGAGAAGAGTTGTACTTGAACTGATAAGGCTACCCCTGGGGAAACAAGATCACGTACCAGCCAGGATTTGCCCCCCCCCCCCCCTTCCCCAAGGAGACATAATGGATCAGTGGTCTCGTAATCAGGAGGTCCTTGGTTGGATATCAAGTTGATGCGCAGTGCCTTCGGTAAGGCATTAATCCTCATTACCAAGTCCCTCGGAGAAGACTTAAACCGTCGGTCCTCTGGTTGCTTACTTACAAGCAGACACATGCTTTCTTAGCAGTCAGGCAAAACAAAACATCAAATCATCAAAAATATTGTGAATTTGCATTTCATCCACTGTATAAGACCGGCGCTCCCTTAATGATCCAGTGTCCCCCACAAACACTCTGCCACTGATGACGGCAATCATTGGATTGCAATTAATGTGGGATGATTGCTTCTAGGACATTACTCCCGTGGGACAATTAGCTAGCTCGGACGGTACTCATCCAGGAGATTACCAAATAGACGATCGTTCCAGATGAGAACCACACAGTTTAGATGAATGGCACTTTCCTTTATGGGTCATTTCCTTAGTGGTCTATATGGGGATGGGGGATGGGGGAATTGATAGTCTTAAAGGTATTTCTATTGGAGCCTTCTTACTGTCCCAGGTGCCATGCCACCCTTCTGTCTCCTGTAACCGTCAGGCGGATTCTTAGCAGAGCACTCCTCCTCAGTCAGACCGCAGCGTGCGCGAATTCGCTTCCATTTATTCATATCGTATGCACGAATTTGCTCCTCATGAATACGTAATAAGCAAAAACATGGCACAGTTCTCATCTTTCTGCTATGCTCAGGATTCATTTAATGACATTGAATTCGTCATGAATATTGAGCCAGAACTATAAACATTATAATGTACTATTCAATAAATAGTGAGTGAAGTTTCAAAATGTGAAAAAAACACCAAAAAAAACTTGCAAAAAAAAATATTTGAAGAGTCGGATATACACGTTAAATAACCATTTTTATCGGGGTGCATCTCGCTGAATTTTGGCTTACCACATAATGTAGATATTTTCCTAACATAATATTATACTTCCTGTGAATGTCTGTCTCAATACCAGTCAGGAACAAGCAAAGTAGTAGCTAATGCATAATAGACTCCGGCGGAAAATAAGACATGGCCGATCGACGAGCGTTTCGCATCGAGATCAACCGGGGGATACCACGTTATATATAGCTCTGCGTCGATTCGCGGTCCAACCAGTCTGCGCGCTATACGTGAACACGCACGGAAAATAGACGGAGATTAGGGATATTCATGAATTATTCTCGTGTGCGTAACCCCCGGTCGTAGAGGCTTATGTATTGCCCCACATACTTATTATTGTGTACGATACTCATGCGCTACATAATTATAGAAGTGAACGGAAAGTACAAAGTTGGATACGGATACGCACACAAGTACAATAAAGAATTCCAGCTCTAGGGACAGAAGAGGGGATTTAAGTGTCTATAAAGGCTATTTTTGGCCAGGCTTTGATATCATTTTAACAAAGAAGACACATTATTCGTTATGAAATGTATGTTTGTGTAAATACAAACTTTCAGGGGGGGGGGGGGGGCAATGTTATTGAAAATTGAAAATATGATTGTTCCCATCCCTGCTATTAATTTCATGGTTGTAAAAATCTGAAATGTGTTTTTATATTTGTAAACCATGGGCTAATTAGAAGAGCCTTAAACAGGAATTTCTTTTGGTAATTCCCAGACATTCGATGATGGTAATATTTTATTTCATAATTCTTTTGTCAATTGCATTACTCCAGTTCATGTGTATTCCTGGAAATAAAATATTACAAAATTCTTTCCCTTATTCTCTTTTCTGTTTGATTTTGTTTTAAAGTGACCCGCGGAATATATATATATATCTGGAAATTTATTTTCGGGGTTTGTTTGTGTGTAATATGACCCTTGGATAGAAATATAAGTGTGCCTTGGGCTGAAGGGCTCAAATAAAACTTGTAGAATTCTTATTTTCATCTTCAACATCATTATCACAATCACAATCGTCATCGCCATCACAATCATTATCATTATCATCATCACCATAGCCATCATCGCCGTCACCACCTACATCATCATCACCACCATTAGCATTGCATCACAATCATCATCATAATCACCGTCATCATGATCATCACCATGCACCACCGACATCGCCATTAATTGCCATCATCACCATCACGTTAACGACCAGCATTGCCATCATAATCACCCTCATCATCACCACCATCAGCATTGCCATCAAGATAATCATCGTCATCATGATCACTGTCATCATTATCATCATCACCATAGCCATCATAATCACCGTCATCATTATCATCATCGCCATATCCATCATGATCGCCATCACCACCGACATCATCACCACTGCCATCATCATAATCACCACCATCACAATCATCATCACCAACATATCAAAATATGTCAATGCTTGACTATTTATATTATGTTTACCCTGTGAAGGTACTATTTCTGGATGAAATACAAATCTGCAAAATATATCTTTTAAAAGATTGTTTTTCTTTTGTGGGGGGGGGGGGGGCTATTATTTAACAGGTCTGTGTAATTCACATTTCTAAATCAAAATTCATGCCAACTAACCCAAGAGAAAACCAGGTCTGGTTTCTTCTGAATAGCCTAGTAAATGGACAAAAAAATGTATTATTTAACACTACTACAAATAATAAATGCGATAGGACTAGGAATAAAATTTGCATTTTCTAATATTTATATTTATTTATAAACTGACTTTGACATTTATGTTGAGACCATCATACACATTAAATGTGTCGCTGAGAATAAAAGTATTATTAGAGTTAAATATTGTTAAATTGTATAAAGGTGACAGTTCAGTCAGTTTTCTATTAATATAATGAATGCATTGTTCGTGTGAAGCTCCGGAATCCCACCTTGGAACTTTGGAAGTATCAGAGATTTTTGTTTTATTGAAAGGAATAAGCTGAACAAAATCCTTCTCGTCCTTCTCCCAAACTCCCCGTTCAAGATTGTTTGTTCCAACGTGAAGCAAAACTGCGGTTGAGTCTTCAAATAAATAACCATTAAAACGAACAAAGGCATGGAGTCCGGTAAATGTTGATCCAGGAATGCAATGAAGACTGATGTGTGATGTCTGTCAATGTCCCGCAAGCTTCGATGGTTGAGTGCGTCTGTCAGAAAAACAACAACAAATGATAAGAAGAATAAAATGTCTTAGTTCAATGTATGGGGATTTAAAAAGATCTTATCAAAGTAGCTAGCCATTTATGGTAGACAAAACTGGCTTGCTTTCAAATTTAATTTTTAAATGAAAACAAATTACAGGTGTCAGATTCATGAAGTTTTCCCTTCATTTTTCAAGATGTGCACAAGTTCTAAAATGTAAGTATTTACCTTTGGCTTTTTGTTTTAATTCTGCTCTGTTCATAATCATAATATTAATATATAGGTCTACAACTCGCAAAAGGAAATGCTGCTCATTTCTGTGGCTGGCTGTAAGGTTGGAGTTAAGCAGAAGGCAGAACCAAAGTTTGAGAATTCCAAATTAATATAATTAATTATCCTGTAAGTAATTTGTCATTCTAATAACTAATATCCAGCTCAGCTCAACTCAGCTCACTCGCTCAGCTCAGGATTCCAGTACAATTCGATCAGTTATCAAACCCCTTCATTACTTGTCTAAACATGTTTAAACCCTTGTAAATATACATTTGAAACATATCATTTGATCTAGATTTATAATGAATAGCAATGACTAATGAGCAGTCGATTTATTTACATTGCTGTCGATTTGCGACAACAAAAACTAAAAAGCTGACAAAAATATATACACATGGGACTACATAAATTCCTGCTGTATGCGCCACACAATGGCACAGCGTGCAGCGACACACAAGAAACCCCGCCATTCCTGACTAAAAGGCCGTAGCCATAGCAATTCCCCGCGGTTTCTAATCATTTTCCGTCTACTTCCGGTAGATTTCCAAAATATAGTCCAATAATTTGGGCATATTTCTTATTCAAACATTACTTGCATCTACGTGTTTTCAACATCAAATGATGGACTGGTTATCAAAGACGACGTAGGATGCAAAAATTCGAAATAATATTATCAATACCAGTCAGGAACAAGCAAAATACGACACTATGTAATGAGTAGTTAATTTCCGAGGACTAAAAAACGCTCTTTTTGTTTGCGATAAAAGTAAGCCCAAAATGTAACTAATTTGGGCAAATTTGGTGTCAAAGAACAGCGAAAATTTCAGAGATTGACTTACCCCACGATTCCGCCATGATGAATTGCACTGTAAGCCATACGAGGGCGAGAAAATGATGCTACCAAAATCCCGTGGCTGGTCTCGTGTTTTACGAGAGCGTTGTAAGCGAGCTTTTCACCGAACGGGAATCTGAATAAAAATTGCCGCACAGCCTCATTATCGCGCACGCTGCGGTCTGACTGTCCTCTGGAGAGTTGAATTGTTTGTGGACCAAACAGGGGGTGACAAAATATATTTGATGCTCCCCCAAAAATAACTCCACACCCCAAACCCACAGAACAATTCTTACTCGTATCCAGACACTTACCCCCCCCTGGAAAACTACCCCCTGGACAGCTACCCCGTAGGATAGTTGTCATAGGGAGTAGTTGTCTGGGGGTAGTTGTCTGGGTATTAGTTGTCCGGGGGTAGTTGTCCTGGGGATAGTTGTCCGGGGGGTAATTGGTTTAGGGGGTAGTTGACCGGGGGTGGTGATCCGGGGGGTGGATATCCAGGGGGTAGGTGTCCTAGAACCGTTCTTACTATCTATTGGTTGGTGCCATGCCCTCTGTTTGTCCTCTGTAACTGTCGGCTACATTCTGGGCGGAGTAGATCCCCACTGGAGAGTTGAACTGTTTGTGGACCACGTTTGGAGCCGACTGGGGTTGTTGGGCCGCTCCCCCGCCCGATCCAGGGAAGAGGCGGGGTTTGGCGTTGTGACTGCTTCCTGCATGCTGGAATTGCTGTGAGGGAGAGGGAGAGGAGAGAGAGAGAGAAAAATACATGAAGAATTATGGTGCAGTGTTTTAGAAATTCAAAAGTGTTTTTTTTTTTTCTCTAATTCGATACCAGTGATTTACAAATCTTGCTGAAAGGACATGATTTTCCGGGATTATTTTCCGTAAATTATACTTTTTTATGCCTTTGTTAGAATATTACAAATTCCCCAATTTTTTTTTTTTCCCTTTAATAAAATCATCTTTATTCAATATTGCTTTCGACTTTACAAAACATAACAAAACATAAATGAATATACATATATTATATAATCAATGAAACCAACAACAAAAATATAGCTGATTATACTAGATAATTTTTTTTTTTAAAGCAACACAATGTTTTTCCACCTATCATCAAATGATACAAATTTGTTATTTTTAACATAAATGAATTGTTCAAGAGAACGATAATACCTTAACATGCATTTAAAAGAATTTAGTGAGAGTAGTCAGTACGCATTTGTTGGAAAATATATAGTATTTAGCAAATAAAAATAACAACATTAAATTGATCTCCAACGTTTCCATAAAACCCAAATATGAAATTAATTTTATTCAACGTAACTTTATCTTCTAAAATGAAATGTTGGACATCTGCAATAAACCTTCTAATGATTGGGCAATCCCAAAATAAATGTTCTATAGATTCCACAGAGCTATAACAAAATGAACATAGGTCTGACTGCGAAATGTTTAATAATTTAAGATATTTATTAACACCAACTATACGATGTATTATCTTAAACTGAAAATAACGGATCCATGTAGATAAACATGACCTAACAGGAACTAAGAAAATCTTACCCCAGTCTATGTTTGGGATATTAAACAGAGAATTCCATTTATCTATTGATTTAGGGGGACTAAGAACCTGTTGAACAATTAAATTATGAATATAGCGACATATCTTCGTTACCTTCATTATATTTTTCATCATTTCTTCTTGAGCTGTTAGGTCTGCCTCTGAACCGTTAGGGATATTATTTTTCCAATTATGGGGAATAGCCGTTTCACAGAAAAAAATTCTGTGAAAATTCCCAAATTTACAGTGAGGCAAAAGATGCTTATTTAGAAGCCTTCATGTCAGGGCCTGCAGAACGGCGGGGCTTGGGGGCTCGAGAAAAAAGAAAGAATGCGTGACCTGCCAGTGTCACAAATCAGGTATCAAAATCTGCTCAATTGACCGTGGTGGTGATGCAGATTTTTCTTCTGCCCCTGAGCGTTTTTGCTCATTACGCCACTGCCCCTGGAAGGTGAGCCCCCTGGAATGCTGTCCCCCCCCCCATCCCAAACAGCTCCCGGTCGCGCCTGCCTATTGGTGCTTATGGGCTGTATACAAGGGTTAGGGTTATGTTTCACAGAACCTACTGGGACTACAGGGTGAACAGACTGAAAGAACCTGCCCGTTTGTTAGCCTAGGATTAAACCTTGCTGAAAGTTTGGGTAGGATTACAGTTAGGGACTAATCTGTCAGGCCTATTGGTGCTCATGGCCGTACATACAACACGTTCATGAGTACAGGGGTAGGGTTAGGGTTATGTAAAACTGAACGAAGTGGACTAGCGGGGGTCATTTGTAACCAGACTGGACCAGACTGAAAGGACCTACCTGTTTGTTAGCCTTGAGTGAAATATTGATACCAGTATCTGCCTGCTCACTGACCTCTGGTGTCCAGATAGTGGCCTGCTCAGACCTGTCAAGAGTGATGAGAATAAGAGGTACAAGGAGATAGTTAGAGAGATAGTGAAAAACTTTTTAAAACTCTTACATCCATGAAGAAGAAAAAAGAACATTACTGTTTAATCAACATTCCTCTCATATTATGTATAAATGTATCAGTATTATTCTTTGCATTGGATGATTTTTCATAATATAATGTACAGTCATTATTGTGATGTGTTGTTGTTGATACCTCAAATTCAAATAAAAAAATTCTAATGAATAGAAATTACAATGTCAGTAACGAAAAGAAACAGGGAAAAAATAGTTCACATATATTTTGTTGGGGAGACGCTTTTGTGGATTCATCTTGTGTGTTAAGAGATATAAGTATGAAGTGAATAACAGTACCGCTAATGTCATTTTAATTTGCCTCTGCAACTTTGGGGCAGTGTCCCACGTCATGATGTTTAAATACGGCTAAAATGTAAGGAGGTTCAAGGAAGATAAATTACAGGGTGGCTAGAGCTGTAGAGGAAGTTTCTTGGGCTGATAGTTCCCTGACCACAAGTTTCATAAGACGACTTCCTTTTTCCTGTTTTCGGATCATTTTACAACAAACGGCAGCAGTCCATGTCTGGATATCTTTCCTGCTCGATGACAATTATGTTTCAGTCCCATAGTACTAGATCCTGTGTTTGTGGTTATTGCCATAACTTGGGTATACCAGGATGCAATTATGATATGTACACAATTTTTTGAACCACAAAATGAAAAAAATGACCGCACAGAATATTACATGATATTGTTATTTTCCTGTGTTTGCATCATTTTACGATGAACAGCAGCAATGTTCTTGGTAAATTTCTAATGTCCTATTTGTATTGATATCTTTCCTGCTCAAATGGAAACGTGTCAGTCCTACAGTACCAAATTTCATACAAATTTCAGAGAAATTTGACATATACATACATTAGTTTTATATGCATAGAATGCAAAATGATGTTTATTGTTTTATTACATACTTCCTTGGAATGATTTCTTGTTTGTTCTAATATTCTTGAGAAAAAAATGATAGAAGAATTAAGGTACGACTTAATTGTAAAACTGTTGTTTGTTGTTGTTATTGTTCTTCCATCAAGTATTTGAGGCCTATGTGTATATATAGTTGCTTCAAATCTTCACAGTATAGAGCATAAATCTGAACTGTCAGAGGGTTTGATGAAGCATGATTGCGGAAGGACAAGAAACTGAATTATCAACAATCAAAAGTGTGGATTGTCGTTGAAGTAGTTGCTGTCTATTATTGTTCTTAATTTTATTGGTGATTTTAAACATCACAATATTTCAAGCCCATATGCTCATGAAGTTGCTTCAGATCTTCACAATATAAAGCAAAAATCCAAACTGTCCAATTTAAAATAGAGAGTGTTTGTCAAGGGACAATTCAAGAATTGACTAATTAACAAACAAAGGTGTCAAATGGTGTTGATGTTGTTGTTGTTTATTGTTTTATTTTTATTTGGTGATTTTATACATCATAGTATTTCAGGCCCATGTGTACACAAAGTTGCTTCAGATCTTCACAATATAAAGCATAAAATCTTAACTGTCAGATTGAAATTGGAGCATGATTGTAGAAGCTAGACAAGGAATTGACTTATTAACAAACAAAGGTGTCAAATGTTGTTGCTGTTTATTTATTTGGTGAATTTAAACATCACAGTATTTTAGGCCAATGTGTACACGTAGTCCCTTCAGATATTCTCAATACAGAACATAAATCTGAACTGTCAGAGGTTTTAATGGAGCATTATTGTGGAAGGACAAGAATTGACCTATTAATGAACAAAAGTGTGAAATGTTGTATATATTTATTTATTTGGTGATTTTAAATAGCACAGTATTTCAGGCCCATGTGTACACGTAGTTGCTTCAGATCTTTACAATATGGAGCATAAATCTGAACTGTCAGATGGTTCAATGGAGCGTAATTGTGGAAGGACATGAATTGACTAATGTTTATTTATTTGATCATTTTCAACATCACAACATTTCAGGCCCATGTGTACACATAGTCGCTTCAGATCTTCCCAATATAGAGCATATATCTGAACTAGCTGTCAGAGGGTATAATGGAGGGTGATTTGGCCAGGACAAGGGATTGAGCTGGACAAGATCCCAACAAGGAGGAAATTTGATTAGCTCATCTAATCTTCTCTGTCAATATTTATATCTTGGCTGATTCATCGCCCCTCCATCTTGGAACAGAAGTCATTGTAAATCTGACCCTAAACTGACAGCGCTCGATATGGCATAGCCTTTACAATAAAGGCTCGTTCAGATATGGTATGAAGTGGCAAAACCACAGCGTTTTTCTTTTTTATGATGACGTGAAGTACAGAAGTCATTGTAAATCTGACCCTAAACTGACAGCGCTCCGACATGTCATAGTCTTGATCATAAAGGCTAGTTCAGATATGATATGAGGCGGCAAAACCACAGCGTTTTTCTTTTTTATGATGACGTGAAGTGTAGTACGCTTCAGAATTTCTGTATCTTATATCAAAGAGCTCAGTGATGAATGTCCTTTGTTGCATGAACTTGCCATTCATTTACACCTAAAAAAAAATCTGACAGGTTTTTTTACAGTGGTTTACCGTAGCATATGTGAACAGGCCTGTAAGTTTAGGGAGATTAAACCAGAACTTTTGTATGCATTCAATATTCAAAAATTTGTGAGTTTTTTTTATTAACAAAAGATTCATGCCACACAAAAAATGTCACAAATGACAACAATTTATTTCATTCAGATCATGAAAATTTCTATATATATATATATATATTAGCCTTAATTGAAAACAGCCCTTTTCTGAACAATCTGTGAAAGTTTCAAGTTGCAAGAGTTTTTTTTTTTAACAGTATAAACATGGAATATTGTTGATTTCATTATGATTATTATCATTGAATATTTAGTAGTTCAAATAGAGTGCAAAGTGGTAAAACTTAGGTTCACTGACTTACATGTACTGTCATAAGGGTGGAGACCACACCCCCCCCCCCCCCCAGAAAAATAAATACAGAAAGAAAGAAAAGTGAATAAAGATATAAAATAAAATGCATTAAAACAAAATCAACCTTCACTACATCCTTTATGCAGCGCCTTAATCGGTTAACTTTTCCTTTATTATATTCAAGTAAATGAGGGAGTGGTGTTTCGGATATCATACAAGGACCTTGTTATTGACAAGTTTCCCTTCCTGCATCCTTCCTGTATCTAGTCAGCTACCAACTGAAGTTTGGCAGCTATACCAATGGAAGATCTTAGGGTGCATTTATCAACTCTTTTCTAGCCTATAATTAGCGTTTTCAAATGTGATTCATGCAAATTTGCATGTTGATAAACGCAAGCAGAGAGAGAGAGAGAGAGAGAGGGGGGGGGGATGGGGGCAGAGATAGATAGACAGATAGGCAGACAGACAGATATATAGATAGAAAGATAGACAGATACAGATAGAGAAGGTGGGATATAAGATATTACTTTGAAGTTGTAATCATTTGACGAGACACTCATTGTGTGTGAGCAATAAAATGCAATTTTCACCAGCAGCGCATCTGCTTCTTCATGGCCCCCTCATCAGTTACGGCTGGCTGCGTAAAGGTACAGCTTGCAATATGTTAACCTACTCAACGTAGCAGATTTGTTTACTTGACTTGTCTATGGCTGCAACAAGATCAGCGTGTCATTACATCAGTGGATGATCTTCTGCTATTCATATCACATTTAAAGCTGCAGTGCAGGATTAGATTAGTTTGAAGGCGCAAAACCCATGTCAGTAACAGTTCCTGCAGTATGAGACTACAACAGGCTTTGTACGTTAGAGGTATCGTTTAATAATGTTAAATCCGAGATGCACGCCCCTACGTGTTATCAGTGTCTGTGATATGGTGTAATATTGAAGCCCTAAAAAATTGAGCTTCAAAATTATCATGAAGTGCCTCAAAAAGTAAAAATCTTTGAGTGACCGGTTTTACCATACGCATTTTCCCCAATAGAAGTGTTATAAAAACCGTTAGGAAAACAGACAATTTGATTTTGATTTCCAATCATAAATATCTTGATAATCAGACAGGCTATAGGCTTGTAAAAGTCATGGGGTTCCTGACTGACCCAAGGTTTATAATTACCATCGCAGCATGAGCTAAATCCAGGATTTTGTTTCAGAATCTGAGACAATGTTACCGAGGCTCTTTAAAGCTGCAGTGCAGGATTAGATTAGCTTGAAGGCGCAAAACCCTTGTCAGTAACACTGTCTGCACCGTGAGGCTACAGCAGGCTCTGTACTTATATAAATAGGCAACTCCTGAGACAGCCAGAGACTGACATATCTAGGCTCTGGGATGTATGATTTGTGGTAAAGTGTCAAATTGATGTCTGTTCTTGCAGACTAAGATTGGATAGGCTGTTGGGGGAGTCTGAGAGATTTCAATCATTCCATCCCAATATTCACTATACAGCATAACTGAGACACCTTACACAAAATAAGGACTGAGGGAGGGGGCAACCTGAACAAAAATTATCATAATAATAACAATAATTATAACCAAAAAAATACTAAAAAGTCTATGACAAGCAACCCAAAACGTTTTCTTTCAATTTTTCATGTGGGGGAGGGGGGGGGGGGGGGGGGGGGGGGGGGTTACATAAGTATTGGCTGATTTCCTTCTGTATTGAGGGGGGGGGGAATGGGACATATGCCTTCTATGACCCCCCTCACCAATCTTCCTTTTGATACTTTACTGCCTACATAAATAGTAAATGATTATGTATACAGGCGATGACAATGTTCATGCATTTCAACATGTACGTATCCCCCCCCCCCCCCCCAACAAAATAATTATAATAATAATTTGAAGAAGTAAAAAAAAAAAAAAAAGGGGGGGGGGGAGGAGTCTATGACAAGCAACCCAAAACATTTTTCATGTGGGGGAGGGAGTTACATAAGTATTGGCTGATTCCTTTTGTATTGAGGC